AAAATAAAAAGCTTCACCGGTTTGTGAATAAGGAGCAATGCAGCGCTTAGGAGCAGAAACAGAGCAGCATCTGAGCAGCTCTTCTTTCTGCATGTTATTTTGTTGAAAATGATCTTTTCTGTGAAGCTGGTTGTTGAATTAGCCAGAAGAGTGGTTGATTTGATTCTATTGAACGTGAGCAGGCAGCTGATATTTACATGTTTTTTCCAACACCACCAAAAAGGAAAAAAAAAAAGTTTTTCCTCCGCAGACTCGTCACCCAACACAACACTAATCGTTGAGTGAAAAAAAAGAAATCCAGCTATCACTATTATTTTGAGCTGTCTGAGGAATTATGATAATCTGTCACCCGCCACGTCTTCAGTATTTTTATACTCGGTCAGAAAAAAGACGTCCGAAATAACGCAATCACTGACTCGCTGTCTCATGTCGTATTGACACAAAACCCAAACTTTACTCATTGCAGGTATTTGGCTGTGGCCTCTCTGTGGTTGCCATTTGCCTGTGGTATTCCAAGGTGCTTATAGCTCTCCTCGTCATCTGCTATTATCCTTTCTGGGAGTGACATTCCCTCCATGTGGATTATCGTCCATTTCTTTGCTAATGGACGTAAGGATTTTTCTTCTCTTTTGGCCAGCTATGTAGTTTATTGCATGCAATGCAAAACGTAACATTCAGTCAGGTTGGGTTGACATCATTGACATAGAGCTCTTACTGAATTAAAAGTACCTAAATGTAAAAATATTTGGACACAGTTAACAAGCAACTGTATGAATGGAATGCAGAAATTGCAGATGCCATTAAAACGCATCTCTCTGTCAAAAATAACCTGAAGCAGGAAGAGGAAATATCCTCTTTTTACCCATTTTTTGAAGAGGCAAGCAGGGTAGTTTGAAAAGCTGTTGGTGGGTGATGCATTTCACAAGTTCATCTTATGTTGGTGAACATTATGGGGTTATCCATGTGAAAGTTCTCAGCTTACTAACAAAAAGAAAAAGAAGCTGTGAGTAAAGATGGGGGTAGGGTATAAAAACCACGAGAGCTCAACACACAGATCTGAGACTGTTGTGTGGATCCCTGAAATCAACAGAGACTACTGGTTTAGAGGCCCGGTAGTACTGAAGGATGGAAGGAGCCCAATGCCATGTTCTTAAAGCTTAAGGGCTCAAATCTGCTTTGCCAAATTATTTTTGACACGTTCTATAAGATGAGTGAAAATGTTTGTTTTTAGAAGCTGCAGGAAAGAGATTCTGTTTTCAAACTGAAACGGATCACAACCAGTTTCTGCATTTCTGTCCTTGTCATTCGTTTACAGCGAACCATCGAACTCAGCAAAGCTTAAAATAATAATCTGATGTGACCTACTTTAGACTCTGCTGTGGAAATTTTCAGGACAAACCATTTAAAAGCCCTTCGCACTTTGAAAATGTTCAAGATAAACGTTGAGGAGCGACTACGGTTGAATTCTGATTTGTAAAATCGTATGCTTTTTATGAGATTCATTTATGAGGTTATTTTTTAAAGATGAAAAGCAAAAATAAAAAAAGACATTCACATTTTGTTACCAATTAAAGGCCTTCAAAAAAGATGCATATCGCCAATCTTAGTTTTAAATTAGAGCTGTCAAATGATTAATATTTTTAATCTGATTAATCCCAAAGTAGCTGTGAATTAATCGTGATCAATCTTAAATTTAATATACATTTCTATTGCATATTGATAAAATAAATTACTTGAGTTATTAATTAGTTTTTAATGTTTTTATTTAGAAAACAAAATTGATGCTTAGACATGATTTTTTGAATAAAAAAAGGACCTAAAAATGCTCCAAACATATTTGAGTCAGTTAAATTTTGTGCAGAATAATGAGGTTAAATCAAGAATTCAAGGATTTTCATTCCAAATGATTTCTACATGAGGAATGAAAGATAGATACTAAGGTCACAGTTGTCAGCAAAACATAAATAAATAAAATAAAATTAGCCATAAGAAGATAAAAAGAAAAAAAACTGTACATAATGTGTTACACATGGACTATTTTTTTATTATTTTATTTATTTAACCTTTATTTATCCAGGTAAACTGTTTGAGAACCACTTCTCATTTACAAACATGACCTGACATACATTGAGTGCATTGCAACATACAAACCTACATTTCCAGACACAGTAAAGTGATTATGAATTTTAATTGTGATTAATCGCAATTAAAACTTTTAATCTATGCCCATGCAGCACTGATATTAATCAGAGTTAACTCGATTAATTTCACAGCCCTATTTTAAATTAAAATGATCTTTTTATGAGAATAAAATGACTCGTACCAATTTTAGTTAAACGTTGAAAATATGTGATCTCGTGCCTTTTTGTGAAATTTTGAAAAATGTGCTTGGAGGATGAGGATGACTCACAAAAACTGCTCAATATTTGTAAATCTTGCTATGATACAGCTATTTTTTTGTCTGCTGTTGATTAGCTGTGGCAGCTATCTTGAAAGTGATTCACTCCAAAAAGTTAATCAGTTGATTTACATCTAAAAATGACTTTTTCAGAGTTTCAATGAAATCCATTCAGTAAGTCATGAGATAATTTGAGGAATCTGCCCCAAATAGCAAGTACAAAAATCTCCTGAACTAATCTAAACTGAGAGTCATTCTCTCTGGCTAATCAAACAGAAAAATGAAGGCTGACTTAACTCCAGATGTTCAAGTTTTGAGAAACTTTTTTCTCATAAAGTCCATCTTTCAGTTGAGCAGTTGTCTTGAAAAGGCTATTGATTTTAATTAAGAAATATCATGTGTCCACATCCTCCAGTCATTGGTTAAGAGAAGTTATGTCTTACATTCATTTAGAGAAGATTAGATATACTGTTAGGGGATCTGTAAACTAATTCTTTGACATCTGGCAGCCATTTATATCTTATGTAGAAAAAATTTCAGCAGATAATTTTGTGTAAAGGTAAAATATTGTTTCATTGTACACTAACCTGCTCATTATATCACTGATTTATGAATACAAGATGGTTTTATGTTGTTGCAGTAGATCCGGTATAGGAGGGGAGGGATGGGAGGGATTTTGGGTGTGTGTGTTTTGTTTTGTGTTCTTGTTAGTTTTTTTTTTCTGTAGTTTGTGTTAAAAAAATAATAAAAATACTTTGATCAGAAATATCATGTGTGTTGAAGCAGAGAAACATCTAAAACATGAAGGATAGTGGCCTTCGAGGACAGTCAGAGATAATGCTCTTTGATCTGGAGGTTATAACAATCATTTATATCACCTGATTTTAAAGGGGCATTTTCATGTAAAATCTACTTTTTTGAGTTTTATATCATGTTATAATGTTATACTCTCATAAAAAACATGCTCAAAGCCTTGCTCTGACTCGTTCATGCATGTTTGAGAAATCCTGCAGCGTTTTTATGAAGCCATGCTGAGGAGCAAAACGACAGGTGGGGACCAGAAACACCTTTTGGTAACAGAAATGCCCCTGGGACGTGTCTTTAAGCTGAACTTCCTCATGGCAGAGCGCACCCCCTCTCCCCCTCCCCACACACTCCGCCCATGACTCCTGTAGGCTCTTGGGTGAAACTGAAAGTGAAACCTAACTGTCTGCTGAGCTCTCAACATTATTATAGTTCTCACTCAGTGAAGCTCTTTTTAGATTAAAAATACCTTTGAGGAAATGTATTTTCAGATGCCAAGTAAACTGCATCATAGCGCACGCGCCGCACGAGCCCCCCCGAACGGGACGGGACTGAAGCAGAAGGTGGTTCTTAAAGCGACAGAGGCCAATTTCAAGGCGTTTGGAAGAGGAAGTGATGAGAAGATAAGCTTATTTTCTATTTAAACATAAAACAGCATTTTAATAACAACTAAAGGTGACATAGATACTTTATTATGGTATATTTTTTAAATATATGCCCGAGAAACACGTAATATTGGCCCTTTAAAATTTTGTTGTTTTCTGCTAATTAAGCATAATTTAACATTTGAACACTGCATCAATAACTGCAAAACTTCTGTATTTGTCCAGCCCCCATAAACTTCAAAATTGAGGCCAGTTTCTCTTAGTTTTCCGTTGCATCACATCAGCAGTTTTAAGTTCCCATTTTGTTGTTTGTTTCAACACCATCAATACAAAATTTGTTACTCGCCATACTCTTTCTTCTTGGTGATGACTGCAGTGATAGTTTAGTGTTTTAGTTTTTAATAAATTTAGTTTAAGACTTTTTTTTCTTTTTTACTCAAATATGGAATATTCTTTTCTTCTAAAATGTAAAAACAATAATAGTAAATGTTCAAATTAACTGTATAGTTTTAATTTTATGTCATCCCAAAGGCCACCTTCAGCAGACACGCAGTGGCCCATGAACCACCAGTTGATAATTACAGTTGTAGCACATTTCATGGCACGGCACACGTTTTATTAGTGAGCCAAGGGGCAGAAATGGCATTTTTGATTGTAATGGTTGCAGACCACTGGTATAATGACTGACTGGAAATGTTGCAGACCCGGTGCTCTTTCTCCCAACCATAATTAGGGCACCCACATTCACAGTCATGCTTCTCACTTGGTTGCTCTGTAACGCTTTCAGAATAAAAGCATGTAATGATTTACAGGAAAGATGGAGGAACTATAAACCTGAACATCTGCTTACATGCAGTCCTGTGACTGTGCCAAAGTCAGGGAAATCCATGTTATTGCTTCTCAAAGTTGTAATTTCATATTTCTAATTACTTTCCCTGATAATGATGTGAAACCAATTTCGGTTAAATAAGAAAAAAAAATCCCACAAATTTAAAAGGATTTTTAAGGATAAGGAGTTATGTAATTAAAATGGGTGTTCTTTTTGCTTGAAGAGGACCTGAAAGGGGGTGTGGGAGCCTCTTCCAGAAAGCGGATTGGTCAATTTAAGTGACGTCACTGATCGACAGATACGTTGACCAATCGGTGGCCATGCACGATCTCTTCCCCCTCGCTTGCCACGGGGGCGACGTTCAAGGGAACATTTGTTCGGGACGGGGAGCTGCCGCGTCGACTGGCTTTATGTCGTAACACTTTGTTCTCATCAATAAATCGGATTTAGACCGGGCCCGAGGCTTTTTTTCATTTTAACCACGCGGCTTAAGGAACTGTTAAGTTGCATTCGGTGAAGGTTCAGCAAAGTTTTGACGAACTGGAAGCGTTTTAATGTGGAGTGAAAGAGACTCGGAACCATTCAGGGGATCTCTGCACTCTCGGTGAGTTAATGCACTTTAAGCTGGCTAACTTAGTAGCTAAAGGTTTTTAACTGGTTCTAAAAAAGCAACAAAATGTACATTCGTGATTTTATTACTTGTTTTCCAAAAATGGACTCAGTTAAAGGCTGTTTTGTTTCTACATTTTCCTCAACTTTATGGCGTGTTTTTTTTCTCTTTCCATTCTTTTCGTCCATGTTGCTAACTCAGCTAACTGCTCCCGGAACAGTTCTGCAGACAGGACAGGCTGCTCCAGTCTCTATCCTCATTAGCTTTGACGCGTTTTGTGGGCACGCCAATGAACCTGACAATGGTTTAGCTGTGTAAAAATTATTTTAGCTTTTATAAGGCTTTAGTGAGCTGCCACATCGTTAGCAGTGCAGCTGTGCGTGCCAGAAACAGCATGAAAATCGGCTCATCAACAATAAAGGAGTCTGGATTCTGCAACAGTGAATTATTTACTTTTCAGACGGTTATTACCTTACCAGATGATAAGAGCTCCCTCGGGACGTCGTTGAATGGTACAGTAAACTTGAAAGGTGCAATATAATCTTTATTCTAAGATGAGTGCAAAAGTATTATTTATTTGACCCAAATTTGTTTGTGGGAGGCTTATGCAAATTAGATAAATCCACATTTACATACCACACATGTATTAAACATATCTGTGGAAAGCGTCTGAAAAAAAGTATCCACCCCTTTTTATTTTATTTATGGAAGCAAAGACCCATTATTCATAGGGGTGTAAGAAAATATCGATACACTGAAATATCGCGATATTTCATTTCCCGATACTGTATCGATATTCTAAAGCCCTGTATCGATTTTTATTAAGGTTTAAAATGTCAACTTTCCTGCCAGCCYTTCATTTTTATGTTGTAGTTCAGCCTCTGACCASTAGTTGGCAGCAGTGAGCCYGKCARTTGGCTCCTCTACCTCTTGAGRGCCAGAGAGTAAGGGTAGCATTAGCATTGTAAGTTAACATTAGCTTTTCTTTTTTTTCAGTAAGAGGTTTTTATTTAATAGAATTTTTGGAAAAAAAATCGCAATATATCACCTTGCTTACAGTATCGCAATATATCGGGATATATCGTATCGTGACCCCTCTGTTATGATATGTATCGTATCGCCAAATTCTTGCCAATACACAGCCCTAATTATTCATCGTATAATAATCTTGTGCATATCATTTAGCTTGCACTTTTTTGTTTGCTCTTCTGCGTTTATTTATTTTATTTTTTTTGAATTAACCCAACACGTGAGCATTGTGCAGTGTGTTAAACATGGCCTCTCCTCTCATTTTGCAGGTCTGGATAAGCCAACTCACCATCCCAGTTTCAGGCCATTTACTGATGGGTACATACTGTGGGGTGACACGCCAAGAAAGCTGCAGTTTATTGAGACAGGACATGAACTGTAAAAGAATAAAAGCAAGTTAGATATTGTCATCTTCATAAAACTTTTTTTTAAATCTGCAAGCAAGCAACTGAGCACTTAAGCAGAAAAAAATCGAAAAGTAAAATAGCTAACTGAAGCTCGTCTTTTAAGAAAGCGCCTTTAAAAAACAAGTGATCAGTATGAGTGCTGAAGGATATCAGTACAGAGCTCTTTATGATTACAAAAAGGAGAGGGAGGAGGACATAGACCTGCATGTGGGGGATATTCTGTTGGTAAGCAAAGGTGCCCTGGTGGCCCACGGCTACACCGATGGTCTGGAACAGCGACCCAAAGAAATCGGCTGGCTACCAGGTTTTAACGAAACCACTCAGGAGAAAGGGGACTTCCCTGGGACATATGTCGAGTACGTTGGGAAGAAGTGGATCTCTCCCCCTACACCTAAGCCAAGACCTCTCAGACCCTTACCTGTGGCTCCAGGCTCCTTCAAAGCAGAAACAGACTCAGACTCAGATCAAGGTGAGTTTACCACTGAACACACACCAGAAGCACTTCTCATTATTTAAAAGTTATTTTGTTAATGTTGTGGTTGGTTTGAAACTCTTGTCTTATTTCTTGCTTTCTCATTTATCTGTAGCACATGTGATCACAGTTGAGTATTGGTGCTAACTGCCGTTTGGTTACATACGTGACTTCCTCATCCCCTTTACATGTCTGTTTTGGAGATTTCTGACATTTTGGACTGGAAGGTTACAGAAAAACTAGAGCTGAGTTTGCCCAGTTCCTGTGTTTCTTACAAAAAGTAACCTGGAAATGTGGATTCAGGTTAATAATCTGACAAAAAGCCTGACTCTGTACTAATGTTTTTGTTGACAAGTCACTGTGCACAGTGCTGTCGAGCAGCTCTGAATGTGTACCAAGCTTGGTCCCAGAGGACACTGGCACCAGAATACAATTAAACGTCATGTGTTGTTGCCAGCCATACAGTACCAGTGGATCTATTTTTCTTTCTTCCTCTTACTAAATCCCAGTGGATTGGAGTTTCCTTATTATTGTTTCCAAAGATTCTTGCACATCGACTAATAAACATCTATATATATAATACATATATATCGCTGGTACAATAGTTTAGGCAAATGTAGTTTTGTGTAAAAGCATAGTATAATAGTTGAACTATCGAAATTTAATTCAACATACCGTATTTTTCGGACTATAAGCCGCACCCGCCATTTAAAAAAAAAAAACGTGCGAACATCAACATATAAGCCGCACTGGACTATAAGCCGCACCCCCCATCAGTAAAAACAAAAACAAAACAGTACACCCAAAATTGTGGTCAAAAAAGTGAATTCAACATCACATTTATTTTTAAGAAAAAGGTTGGCAAGTTCACCGGTACAAAATAATAATAATAATAATAATAATAATAATAATAATAATAATAATAAGCTCTCGGAAAAAAAAGGCGAGAGGTCTGGAATTAAAACATAAAAAGCAAACCTTTAGACATTACAGGTAAAGTTCGGAGGAATACGGTTCATTTAACTGACCAAATTTTGGTAGTTTTCTTTAACCGTTTCTGGTCCAACAAAATGTCTCATTCATCGTCCGCCGGCGCACTGAAACCTTCGAAATCCTCCTCTTCTGTGTCGGAGTTAAACAAGCTGCGTCACACAGAGGTACCTGTTCAGTTTCTGTGTCGCTGTCCTCCCGGGCTGGCTCTGAAGCTGTGGTGTCCTCTTCAAGTAGCAGTCCAGCCTTTCGGAACCCATTTGTGATGGTGGACTCGTTCACTCTGCTCCACACTGTTAGGATCCACTGGCAGACATCAGGAAATGACGCTCTTCGCATTCGGCCAGTTTTTGTGAATGATTTATCCCCGTCAGTCAGCTGCTGGGAAAGCCCTCCCGCTCCAGCATACGTCACTGCAGGGGATTCCTTCCCTGGGGAGTGCAATGCAGGAAAAAAAAAGTCAGCAGCTCTTCACTCGACGTTTATCCACAAAATGGTCCTGGATTAAGCTCCAAAGTTGTTATCAGTCAGATTCCACCGTGAAAAATGTCTGTTTTATCCCCTTTTATGAGTTTTTGGCCATTGACTATCTTTAAATCGCTGCTTCCTGGTACAACAGTCGGCTCTGGAAGGATCGCTTTTTTCTTTTTTTTTCCTTTCTTTTTTTGAAGCGAGTGGTTGAAGCAAATGGAGCATAAGYSCCCCRMGMMGSRMYAYYAAAAAATCCACGTATAAGCCGCACCGGACTATAAACCGCATGGTTCAAAGTTCAGGAAAAAAGTCGCGGCTTGTAGTCCGAAAAATACGTTAGTTCTTTTGAAAGCCAAGTACTGATTGTTTAAATACTCCTTTTTTTACATGTTGCTGTTTGCTTACTGATGAGTTGGGAAACATTTGATTTTGTTAATGACTATTATAAAAGCTAAATGCTCATGCTCAACAGCATGAAGCTGCCTTCATTACATTTATTTGTGCAGGCTTTGATGCAACTTGTCAGTGTCATTGTTTAACATGTTACATTGCAATTATTGTGCCTTTATTAAAACATTTTTTTAAATTGGCACAAAAGTGTAGAGCCCTCTAGATCTTTGTTTATGTCACAACCACAAGTTGAAGTAAAAATCACATCATTTATGTATTCATATGTAAAATTGTGTAAAAAGGCAATAATTAAAATTATGTTATACAAACCTTTGGGATTTTGATTAAAGCATGCAGGTTCATTTTTTTGCAGTAAAGCTAAGAAAACAGTAACACTGACGCAATTCATCAAGTAACTTGCATAACTAGATGTCCTTAATATGAACTATCATTTTATGATTCGCTTATTCCACGTGAGAATTGTTGCTCATGGGTTGCCGTGCTTCACAGATATTTATTACTGTTGCACAGAAGGCTTGTGTTATATCACCAAATCACTGGATGGCCCATATTCGAGGAGGGATTATATGAAGTATCAAAATCTAGGGGGAAAAAAACTCAGTTTAATTTCAAAAAGGAAAGAAAATGAAATAATATTGCGAAACAAAGTATGTTGTAAAAACCAATTCAGTAGTAGTGTTGCAGATTTAGTTGCAGAGTTTTATGTACCGTGCTTATGTTAGCGTCGTGTCAGCATTTCAAGTTCAAATTTATTTATATAGCGCCAAGTCACAACATGCGTTGTCTCAGGGCACTGTACATAAAAAGAACAATGTAAAGAAGAAAACAGCAGATTGTGTTGAATCACTTCATCACAGTCTCCCATCCTGAGCAAACGGTGGAGAGGAAAAACTCCCTGCTAATCAGGAAGAAACCTCCAGCAGAACCAGGCTCAGGACAGGAGACCATCTGCCTCATTGAAAAAAATGGATGGGTGTATTATCTGAATCCTTTAGATTTAGGTATAAGGTTATATTCAGTTCATAACATTTGTGTACACACAATCACTTTTTAAATGTGGCTCATTATTGCATGATTTAAAATGCTTTACTTTGGAGTCATCTAATATTTTCATGCTAAAGTTCAGCTGAAAATACAGGTCACATAATGGCAAGTTCGGTTTTTATTTTTTTGTTTGTTTTGTTGCTCTCATTTTGGATTCTTGGAAATCGTACTCAGTCACGACTCGGGCCACAACTATGAAGTCTAATTAAAACTTGCATCTTTTTGAAGAGGCTGCGGGTCGCGTGAATGAGCACTGAGAGCTCTCTGAGCACCTAAAGAGCAGCTGTAGCTGCCAGGTTTCCAGTTTCTGCTCTTTGTGGTCCGATTGTGAAATTCCTTGCTGCGGTTTGCAGGGTGAGCTGGGATCTGTGTGAAGGGGGCATGTGTAGAATGGCAGCGTCCTGGATGTGTGGCAGCAGCGCTGGGCCTGGAGCTAGTGTGAATTTAGAGCAGAGAGAAGAAAAGTCTCTGTGTCCTGGGCTGTGGGAGACTGGTAGGGATGGGGTGGGGGGCTGAGGTTGCTGTAAGGGATAGTGTGCACAGGGATCAGAGCTGGAGCAGGGCTCGGTAGAGGGGCTGAAGCAAGGGATAGGGTATATGGAGGACTTTGGGAGGAACCAGGGCTGTCCATGCTCAAGGGGGCTTTGAAGAGGGTCTTGTTGCTCCCAGAGCGTTTGTGATTTATTGCCCACCACCGAGGGATCTAGTTCCCTTCCTCCTACGCCAAAGCTTCTTTTTTTCTTCCTCCTCCTTTTTTAATGTTTTGATAGTTCCTACAGTGAGCTCTGGGAGGGTAAAGAAGGTGGAGAATTGAGGCTTGGAAAGGGGCCTCTCCTCTCTGAGCCGGGGGTGGGGGGTGGTTTACATGAGTGCAGCAGATGTGGAGAGGCAAAGAAAGAAAGAGAAAAGGGCAGGGCTGGGAAACTATTCCGCCTCATTCCAGCTCGCAGCCTTTCTTTTTCTCCCCCCATGAAACGTTAAGTGTTGCTCCTTTGCTGGGCCTCTACCGTAGAAGGGTTTCAGCCCATCAAGCGGAAGGTACACGACGTGCCAACATGATCTGTACAAAACGCTGAACATTTTGAAAGTAAACTTTTTCAGTCTTCCTCTTTTAGGCATGGCTTGTGATTATCATTCTGAATCACTGAGTAAAACCTAAACTTGGCAATCGAAGAAAATGATACAACTTATTCTTCTAAAATAAAGTTTTGTTGCCAACATTACTGAAGCTCAGTAATACTCTAGAACATTACATTTATAACAGATTCACTGTAATTTTAATTTGTTAATTAATTTGTAAGAAATTGCACCTCATATTTCAGGTGTCGTTCTGCATGCTCGAGGCCTGCATGCTCAGTCTTGTTTAAAGAACTATTTGACGCCATCAGTCTGTCTCTTTTCTGAGACTTATCAGTACCTTTGCAGCTTGTTTGTAACATTGTAGTACATTGCAAATAAAACGAGAGATTGCAGCAGACTTTCTAAAAAAATATTTGAATATTTATGCATTCAGGGTTCCTGCTAGGGCTGTGTATTGGCAAGAATTTGGCGATACGATACATATCATAACAGAGGGGTCACGATACGATATATCCCGATATATTGCGATACTGTAAGCAAGGTGATAAATTGCGATTTTTTTTTGTCCAAAAATTCTATTAAATAAAAACCTCTTACTGAAAAAAAGAGAAAAGCTAATGTTTACTTACAATGCTAATGCTACCCTTACGCTCTGGTGAAGAGGTAGAGGAGCCAAATGGCTGGCTCACTGCTGCCAACTAGTGGTCAGAGGCTGAACTACAACATAAAAATGAACGGTTGGCACGAAGGTTGACCATTTTAAACCTTAATTAAAAATCGATACAGGGCTTTAGAATATCGATACAGTATCGGGAAATAAAATATCGCGATATTTCAGTGTAGTGATATTTTCTTACACCCCTAGTTCCTGCTAGCCTGGTAAAAACCAGACCCTTGTCCTTCACTTTGTTTCGTGAGGGTCTGGACTCACTATAGAGAAGTGATTTTTGCAGTAGCCGTGGCCTCTGCTTAAGTTCAAAATGATTGGATCGGTTGGCCAC